CCTCCTTGAACTCCTTGTGATGGGCGCGCAGCTGTAAGATCTGGTTACACATAAGGCAACCTCAACTGGAATGACATACTTTGTAAATAAGCGATGAGGTTATTGGTTCCCACTGGTGCAACGCTTCAAACCATTTGTTTGACTAATGCAATGTCAACATAATAAGACTAAGAGATACAAATGTGCTACCACACATCAAGGTATAAATTAGGTTCTTTCTGATGTCCCCAGAATTTATTTGGATGCAGACAGACACAAATGTATTTAAATTTTAAATAAAGTGTACAAATTTAAAATATGTCAAGTCAGACAGAATGTTTTATGTTAAAGGAATACTTCAACAAAGAAAGAGTTAGATGAGAAGATTCACACTTATATCTAGGTCTATATATACCTAAATATAAAGCTACAGCCAGCAACCATAGCTTAGTTTAGCTTAGCATGAAGACTGGAAGCAGGGGAAACAGCTGGTATTGCTCTGTCCAGAGGTAACAACATACATTAACAATCTAATATTATCCATTAATTACAGAAATATAAGGATTTGTAGTTCAATACTTAGTAACCAACGACTATATTTAGTATGTTAAGGAAAAGTTCCTTAGTGGTGGAGACACAACATCTGCTGTTGGAAGTGACTTATGGCTACACATGAATAAATCAAAATGTTTGATTTCACATAATCAGTAGACAATAGTAGTAGATTTTTATTTTTAATTAAAAAAATCACAAGAAAAAGTCTAAAAAGTGTATGTTCATTTGAAACTTTAAATACTGGAGCAGAGGACATATTATTGAAATTGAGATTATTTTGAACCCATTGGTACCATACATTCGAAATAGCTTTATATAACTTTGTATTTGTTTGTATCATACTACATTTATTAATCACTGGGGGTTATTCATTTTATCTCATAGGAATACTATATAAAATGGCTCTAAGGTCTGCACAATTGGACCTAGAAAAAACCCCCAAAACAAACAAATTATGTTTTTTTTTCTTAATGGATCTATAAAACAATATGAAGATATATTGTTCATATTGTGTTTTCTGGAAAATAAACACAGCAACCTCTTGTCTATGGACATTAATGGGTCGTTGCTAGTTAACGGACCATTACTATGCAGTGCCCAATTTAGAAACATATGGTCGGGTTGCATCATGCGCACTTACACTGCAAACTCTAATTGTGTGTGTGGAAATTAAGGTGCCTTAACAAGCTGACAAAGCGTTTTACAGCCTCTGTTTGTAACCGAGATTTACATGACTAAGGGGATAGGATTCCCTCGGTGTGATAATCCTGTTTAAGAGCATAACACCATTATGACAAATTTTCTTTTCAACCTAAAGCTCTTCACTAAAAAGTCATGAAGCGTGGAAAAAAATACTGCTCCAGTTTTAACAACAGCCTGTTTCAATGTCATGCCTTGCTCTCCATAGGAGGAGCAGAATCTGGATTTAAGGTTGAATGAAGATGTTTGTGCACAGTTAACGATCACCTATCACACATGATGACCGTGTTTTAAATTTCCTGCCTTAAAAATGAATAATAATTAATTGTGTAGGACACAGAGCTGGAAATGACAGTTTAATTCCTGTAATTAAGAAGGGATTTTAAAGTGAAGTCCAATGTCCCACTTCATGGCTTGCCTTTCCACTTTATTTGCAAATTTCAATTATGCACTGAAACAGTTGAGGATAGTTGAGACAGCCAGTCAATTTTGGAGATTAAGTGTGTTTTGCAATGAATTACACAAGCTGCTCAGAACCTCTTAATGGGTTCATTTAGATTCTGGATTAACTTTGATGAACGGAACTGAAGATAACAGCTCTGTGCATCTCAGAACTTGTCAGCTCACATAAACTGGAGCTGAGGGGGGTGTAGCTTCTAGTTAGCATTTGATTAGCTTAGCTGGTTTTCAGAGCAGTTTCAACGGTTTAGAACACAGCTATTTGTCAAATTTAACATAGCTGCCATGTGAAAAAAATCATGGGTTCCAGCTAAATTCTAAATGTGTACACAGTAATGCTCCAGATATGGTAAAGAGTTCTTTTTCAGATAATCGTATTTTCTACAACCGCACCTGCTCAAACAGTGAATTTAAAACGAATATTGAATGGTGTGCAAGTTTTGTTAAATGGTAAATGGTAAATGGACTACTTGTATAGCACCTTTCTAGTCTTCCATTGAACTCTCAGGATGTAAAAGTCACAGTAAAGATGTCAAGGCAGCATTGACTACTGTATGCAATTCTGAACTTTGTAGAAATTTGCACAAAGTGATCCACAAAACATTTATGGCACTTCCATTTAGTGGATCAAGGAGTACTCTCTTTGGGCCCAGTCACACCACCAGTAAGGATATTTTATGACATTTTATCTGCTGCAGTGGTGCAACAGATCCAAACTCTATGGACATTTTAAAACAATAAGGAAGATGAACAAAGGCTTAATGTTTTGGTAAAATGTTCCAGCCAAATGTCTCCTTCGGTGAAAACCTGTCTTATCCAGCGTCATCTCAGCTTCTATTATGTCTGTCTCTTGTCACTGTGACCTGTTCACTGAGGCATAAATGCCAAAAAATGTCTATAAAAAGGGCACTTCCTCAGAAATGTTAGGGAAATCTGGGGGTATGGCAGTGCAATAAATTTTTGTTTTTTTTGTTCCTACACACAAATTTGTTGTTTTTTTAATGAAAATTTGAAAGAAAATAAATGCTAATTGAATTTGTGTCTCAATTATTTTTATTGGTCTGCATTAAAATACTAAGTGCATGTTGGGATCCAAGGATACCCCTAAATATGAACTTGTTCATTTGAAGTGTTTAACTGAAACACAAAGGAACGTGTTGGGCCCAGGCCATGTGCT